GTAAAGCCGCGTTTATTTCTAATATTACTTCAGTATTCCTCGGCTCCCACCTCTCTGCAGCATTCTGTAATGACTTCCCGTGTGTGCTCATTCTCTGATGGAAACCCCACAGCCTGTTGTCCGTTTGATCTTACTACTGTGCTCTGTTTTTTTAAAATTATTATCCGGGGCAGCTCAGCCTCTGTGCACTCTTTGGGATTGGTGCTCACAGCTCTCTAGGCTCTAAGCAGCATTGTGTGTGCTGCCAAGTGTGAGTTGCCACCCTGAGCCTTTCCTCCTTCCCGCCCTCCTGTCTCCTCTTCCATCTTCCTTCTTTCCTCTCTCTTTCCATGTCTCAATCTCCTCATCTTTTTTTTTCTCTCTCTCTCTCTCCTCCTCTCTCTTGCTTCCTCTGCCATCTCTTGTCCGTCCCACTTTCTGGTCATCTGTTGTTGCCGTACGTCCCAGAACTTGCTAATGATACTGAAGTGGAGCTAAGGGGAGTGAGTCTGAGGGAACATGAGTGCGAGCGGACAGAAGATGAGTGTGTGAAGTCAAGATGGGCGAGCGAACACATAGACACGTGTGTTCCCGAGCCCCTTGGAAGCTGTGTGAGCATTCATTCCGTTTGGCCTTGGTCCCTTTTGTCTCTCTCCTATCCCTGAGAGTAATCGGGTTCACTATATATATTTCAAGTACCTAAACACATATTAATATATGATGCATGTGATGTATGTATGTATGTTTGCTGTCTCTGCAGCATGGTTTTTGGAAGCAGTCTGGGCTATGTTCATGACTGGAGAGTAAACTTGTGCAGCTCCCCTTTGAGGGAGCTGGGGACATTTTAAATGTATGTTCGACTTGTAGGTGGAACTTGTGGATGCACCTCCATATTTTAACAGTAATCTCCCCCTTTTGGTGTGTAATTAATCGAAAATTAGTTTCTGAAAGTAAAAATTGGGTCAGAAATGGAGATTATGAAAATGTACAGTTGCAAAAGCCTGACCCCGCAAACCCCATTTATGCAACCGAGTTCCAGAACGCTTTTGAGTGGTTGATGACTCAGGACGCTTCTTCCCCTAGCTGGTCCAGTGTAGGCAAGAGGTTAGCCGGCGAGGGGAAATTAAAACAATGTTGTACATTATATTGGTACCAGCCATGGAAAAGCCTATTTTGTATGCAAGGCAGCAGTGCCGAGATATATGGAGAGCCCTAGGCTAAGTACAGAAGATAATTACATTTGGAGTTTTACTGAGTTAAGTCATTTACAGCTTCAAATAGTTGCAGAGAAAAATCAGCCCAAACACACTTAAACTTTTTGTTGTGACTTTTCAGGACAGAAAGAATTAAAAAAAAAAAAATTAGCTGTCTTATGTGAGAAACTAAAATTCTGGTACAGTACTTTTTTTCCATGAGTTATTTTCTTGAGGTTGTTAATATTTTCCATTCAGACAGCAAATATAAACTTAAATAAATAAGATAAATAGTGAGATGTTTGTACAAGCTTAGAACATACCATAAAACCAGTTTTCAGAAGCATATTTAACTCAAGCATATCTGTAGAGAAGAAAAGCAGGTAGGATTAACCCACTCCCCACATCTATTTAAAAGTCAGACTTTGCAAATGTGGATTCCACTGAATAGATATTGGTGGTGGTATTTTCAAAATGATGTGTGTCTCTGGATTGATTTATGTGCTATGAGATTAAGTTCCTATGACAGGCATAAATAAGTTGTTGGAGTTGTCACAGTTTGCCCAGGTAGGTCTTCTTGTCTGCGTGGTTGATCTGGAGCCACTGTTAGTTATTAGAAAACTGGGAATATACCTTATCAGTTGTTACACACTCTCCACAGAGAATGGTGGGAGAAAGGGCAGAGTGGCCCATCAGTCAGCCAGGCTGTTATCTCCTGGCAGCTCCTCTGATGATTTTGGGTGGGCGTGGCATAGGACTAGAAATGGATAAAAGGAACAGGGGACTGTTCGAAGGTTTCATGGGTTCTGAGATTGCAGGCTTCAGCTTTGATCAAACCAAAGGCAGGCTTTTCAGTGGGTGGTGGACTCAAAGCTGATCTGGCTGGAAGTCAGCCAAGCTGTATAGCTACCTGGGATGTCACCGCGTTTTGACTGAGAATTCCTTTCAGGGAGAAGAGTCATGGTGGACTGACAGTCCTCAGGGTCCCATTTCTTCTTGGCTTAAGAGTGTTGATCTATGTGGTGCATGGTGCTTCCTAGGAATTAGCACACTGTCAACATCAAGAGAAGTGCTTAAGTGGTCAGGGGAGAGAGACCGTCCATGAGAGGTGAAAAATCACATTATTGTTTGTACACTGAGACACAGATAAGCCAAAGCCCACTCCCTGATAACTTGCAATTGTTTGTACTCCATGGAGACAGAACCTGGTAACTGCATCAGAAGCCCCACGGGCTACAGAGCTGACAACATTTACTACATGGTCATTATAGAAGTTTGCCAAACAACTCTGGTCGGGGGATGAGAAATGTCCTTATATTAAATATGTCACTCGTGCCCCAGGGTTCCTGGCTGTCTCCAGTTCTGCCTACCCATCCATATGCCTCCTCAGCCATAATGTGTAAAACCTTCAGCTCCACATCAGTCAGGCCAGTGTCCCAGCAGCCTCCTAAGACAAGCGCTTGCCCACCTTTGATTGGAGGATACTGGCTTGTTTATTCATCTCCTTACAGAGTGCAGCCCTCTTTGGAGGCTCTGTGAAGGATAGGAATGGTTAGAAGTGGGTAAAGCTGCCCTCCTGTTTCTTATATTCTACAAGGAAAATTGAACTATAAAATAGATGACAAGTGGGAAGCCAGACAATGGCTTGGCAGTTAAGAGCTCTTAATGGCTCTTGCAAAGGACAGAGATTTCCCAGTATCCACGTGATGGCTCACAACTGTCTGGAACTCCAGTTGCAGGGGATCTGACACATTCCTCTAGCCTTGCAGGCACCTGCACAGTTACGGTGTACATAAACTCACATGCCATACACACATATACATAAATTATAAATAAAATAAATAAATCTTCCAAAACCATGGATGCGCTGGGCCAGTGGTACATAACTTCAATGCCAGCACTCAGGAGACAGAAGCATCTGGGTCTTCGGGAGTTCAAAGCCAGCCTAGTGTACATAGAGAGTTCAGGCTAGCCAGGGATAGGTAGAAATACCCTGTCTCAAATAAAAAACAAACAAACAACAAAATACCTCATAGATAACATGCTGGACTGCCACTGGCTAGCTAGTTGACCTGGGTTCTTCATAGTAACAGAAATTTACTCACAAGAACATTCCAGCGCTAGAAAGAGACCAGCCAAAACTAGATTAGTTATTATTCGATCAGACAATCAAAACATGTGAGTAGTTCCTAGTCTGACTTGTTTCTGTGGTGCTGGGGATTGAATCCAGTCAGCTAGTCAGCTGTCCTACCTCTGAGCTGCACTCCCAGCTTGAGTTTGCCTGAGAATTCACAGCTCTCCTGTGGACTGGATGAGAGAGTGTGTAGATTTCAAGCTTAGCAACTTTAGGAGCTTTGGGGACACTGAGCAATTGTGCTTAAAGCTAGATTCCTTGTCTGCTACCCACTTACATAAATTTCAGTATTTCCATATTTTTTGTTGTTTTATTTTTATTTTGGCATTGCATAGATCTGTGTTGTAAACGTGCTATTTTTTTCCCCTGTTTTTGATTCAAGGGACAAGTTGTCACTCTATAGTCCGAGCTGGCCTTGAACTCACTGCAGGCTGATTGCCTCAACCTCTTGAGTATTGGGATTACAAGCATGCCTCACCACACTCAGCCTGAGAATGTCCACTTTAATGTACTTAACTATAGATCATGATAACCATAAAACCACAGCAGTGGGGGCAGGCAGGGACCTGTAAGAATACTTGGGGGAGACAGACTTGGACCCAGACAGCTTCTCTGTTGCCGTTCCCTCTACATGTGGTCTCCTATTCTCAACCACAGGCTGGGGCAGCACCTAATCTGGAAGAGATATCCTGCACAGCACTGGTCCAAGGAATTGCTTCTTTTCGCTTAAGGCATTTCTTTCCCAGTCCAGGGAATTCCTGAACGTCTTAGTTTCTCAAAGTTAATTATAAAATTGCTAGTTATTAAGGTGTAAACTGGAGAAATACTTTGTAGCACTGTGGCAGAGAACAGTTACAGTTTGAACAATTTCAAAAAAGTGATGCCGTATTTCCGTAGCCTGCCACCTAACTCACCAGCTTTGTGTTAGGAGAGGTAGAGGCCACTTGTCCCCATCTTACATGTGCTCACACTGGATCTTAGCATGTGCATGTGTGACAGTTCCTATCTAAGCCAGAGGATAATAAAGACTATATACATTAGGCAGATGAGTCAAATCCAAGGAATTGAAGCTGGCAGAGGCCACTTGAGTGCCGTCCTGTGTACCTAAGAATACCTCAGCCCATATTGTCACCTAGAACAGATCCTTGGGTCTCTGGTCCACCACTCAAAGCTCTCTAAAGAAATGTACTACGGTTAGCCTAGGGAGATAATGGCTGCCGATGTTTCCCTCCTCGGGCCGTTACTGCAGTTTTCCACTGCAGACTGTTACCAGCACTGGACAGGAGAGCTTCCCTATATCCATGCAGGTACAGTATGACTGGATTCACAAAACCCATGTATCCACCAACATATCACTTACCAAGCAGGATAGGTGTGCATTTTTCAATATATAATGAATATTTTCTTAGCAGTGAAGAAAAGGGTTTGTCAGTCCCATCCCCAGTTTGCCCTTACACTGGTCTTATTGAGAGGAAAAGAGAGTCAGAATACCTTGGAACTGATGTTATGTGACTTTTCAACATTTCTTTTAGAATGTCTTACCAGTGGAGTAGATAAGGGTCAACCCCAGCTATTACTCAGGAGTCAAACATGATAAACCCTGGGAGGCCATGTGAGGAAATGTAGACATGTCATAGCAAGAGAACACGGACCACAGGAGCCATTTGGGTCAAGGCCTTTTTGTTAAGGTCAGA